TGAGACGCAGAATCATGCTCTCAAGAACTTTACCTATATCCGGAATTCCATTGTCGCGTGGAAATCCTTTCGAGTTGTTCCATGCCGATGAAAAATTGGTGACGATTACTATTTTTGTGAACACCACCGTAAGTATCAAGCCTGGCATTCCTCTATGCCAAGTTCTTACTGTGGTTCAAGACAAAGATCCATAACTGTTCAATCATCGTTGAAAATAGGGAGTCCTGAGGCAAAAGCCTCCGCATTGTCTACACTGGTGATCCTCCCCAATCTCGGAATCCCTATCTCTTGAGTGTATTGAGCTTAAGACAGGTCTTCATCTACTACTTTATGTAAATCCACGAGAATCCAAGTCATGTAAAAACTTGGAATAATCATTAGTGAAACTCAAGGAATGGTTTTCCGGTAAAAGCTGCTGTGTCTCTCAAAGCAGGAATTTTCCAACTCTGAGCCAAAGTATACTGCTATGTTCTCGCGTAAGTACACTGACTCTTCGCATTCGGGCGCTTATCAATTTTGGGTAGTAGCACAGTTATCCCATCACGGGCCTGTACTTGACATTTCCTCGGACCATATCATCCTATTAAGTCCAGAGTTCATTTACGTAATCCACGCAGTCTGGTGGTATTGTTTGTGAGGTATGTGTTCTGCGAACACGTCTCTAAAATCGCTCAAATTGAGCAGAATTTTCGCATATCTTAATCCGTTTTCCGGCTTGTCTAAGCTTCACGTAGAATGCCAGTAAAGACAGCCCGCACTTTGGCGTTCAATCGGCCTCTGGCGTAGCGCACTGTAGCTGGGTTTCCCTGGGCTACAGCGTCCGGGCCGTCCGTGGCTGACGGTGTTGCCCCGCTCTTGAGTTGGACTGTGGCTGAAGAGAAGCATTTGCTCAGATCAGTCTGTCAAAGACAAATTTGAACATCTTCCAACGGGATGTAGGCTGAAGTACTGTTGGAGACATCGACGGAACGAACAGATGGAGGTGCATCTGCTTCGACTGCGAAGCTGCTTTGACCGACTGCGGCTCGGCGTCGGATGAAATGTCTTTTCGTCAAGGTGTCCGGTCTGTCGGCAACTGGGAGCCCCACTAGTCGGCCGTTTTCCGAGCTAGATGGCACCATCTTTAGAATTCAGCGAGAATAGGCAATGCGATTGACCTCTCAGAAGCTCTCCCAAGTCCAAATTTCGTTCTAGAAGAAATCTTACGTTGCTCATGACCCCAAATGACTCTGTCATTCCACTCTGTTTCCCCACAATACCTCCGCAAAGTCATCTCACATCCTCCACAGAAAGTCTATTGGCCCCCATTGACCTCCGTCATGGTTCATGGGAGACTCATCCGAACTCACAAAAAGAGAGGAAAGCTTTGACCGGAAGGGACAAACACCTAGACGAATGGGTATGCGATCTTACGGAGTACGTAAGGCGAAGTTGACAAGGGCACCAATGACAAGAAGTGACACAACTACTGGAGACCTGCGCTTGAAAGAACCAAAAGAAGACCATGTCCCAGCATCTCCAGATCGGGGAAACCCATCATCCTGTGGTTTGCGGGGCACAGCTGGCGATACTCTCGGCCATTAAACCTTGTCCCTCCATCCGCCCCCATGGAATGGTAACAGCGAGCAAAGTGCCGTCGTAATTACCATCTTCCCCACGGCATCATGCGCCAATTCGATGATCTCTGCCCAGCGGCCCTCGCTTGCCACGCTTTTTCTGCCTCTGGTATCCAGCTCCAAGAGAGACACTGCATGCTGCATTACGACGCTGATGCTGCCGCTGCGAGCTTGTCGGACCGCTTAACCACTCGGATGGCGAGTCGATGCAACAAATCGAGACCGGCGGCTATCTCCAAGCGTTGAACCATGCACACGAGCCCCAGTCGCTGATAGTTTTGGGCTTAACACCAAGAGCTTTGCAATAGCTTACATGTAGCTGCGTCTGCGGCCTAGGCCGTTCTGTGACTCTCTTCTTCTCTTCATCAAGAAAAGCACACAATGAGTTTCAGCGAGCAATACCGCGGGCGAACCCCCTCGCCTCCGCAACTCCCGCATTTTCCCTCTGGCTACTTGAAGGCCAATCTGCCACTAAACCCACCAATGCTGGGGTCAGTAGCGTGACCTGATTCCAAAAGTTGCAAATTACCTTAGACCACCGGCATGGCCGCCCCGCGTTTACTCCAGTCTTTCCCCAATTTCTAGGATTGCCTACCTAAATTCTTTCGTTTCCCACGCAAGGCTTGACCGAACCCCCGTGGGGCCAAGACCAGTGGTTGGGTTTCTTTTCGGCCCGTAAAGACAGTCCAAGAAACTCTCTCTGTTAGTTGCTTCTTGATTTTTTTTGCTCTATGTACTCTCGTAACCATCATCGTCATGATCCGTCTCCGCCGAGCCTCAGTAGAACCGCACGCCCAGGGATCATGACTCCTTACCCTTGGTCCGTCTGCGGAGCTGTTTCCTTGGCTCTGCCCTGGCTGACGTCGTATCGAGAGCTCCGAATGACAGCTTCCCCGGTCCAGTCGGATCGTCGTCCTGGCGTGCGCAGCGCGCGCAGCCGATATATAAGATGAACGCCTTGAGGACCTGCGTTCATGAGATTTTGGAGGTCAAGCGGCGCGTCTACCAATACTATCCATCGCAGCACAGCATGTCAGTCCTCAAGGGTGGTGCCGTCTTCACGGCCATCGCCTCCCTCGCCGCCGTCGCGGTCCCGGCTTCATCTGCCAGCGTCCCGACCATCACTCCCGAGTACCTCGCAACCGCTGGCAACAACTCCCTCTTCACCCGCTGGAGGCCTCGCTCTCACTACCTCGCGCCGCACAGCTGGCTCAACGACCCTTGCGGTGCCGTCTACGACCCGGCCACGGAGACATACCACTTGCACTACCAGTTCCACCCCAACCACGTCAACTGGGGAAACATCTCATGGGGCCATGCTGTCTCCAAGGATCTTTTCCACTGGACCGATGTCCGCGACTGGCAAAATGACTCTTCCGTGTCGCTCGCCTCTGGCAAGTACGCTTCCGGCCCTCTCTCGCAGTTCACCGGCACCACGCAGCCCGTCAACATTGAGGGCGCCAGCGATGGCACACTCCTGACTTTCGGCACCGGTATTCACTACCTGCCCACGAACTGGAAGCAGCCGTACATTACCGGCACGGAAGTGCAGGCCATGTACACCTCCTCCGATGGAGGTTCCACCTGGGACGAAGTCGGCACCGTTCTCTCTGGACCTCCCGAGGGCTGGAACGTCACCGGCTGGAGAGATCCCAGCTTCTTCCCCTCTACGGAGCTCGACAGCCTCCTCCAGGTCAGCGAGCCCCACTACTACATGGTCCTCGGCTCCGGTCTCAAGACCGGCGATGTTCCCGCTCAACTTCCCGGCGCCGCCCGCCCCGGTTTCATCGGGCCCCGTATCCCGCTCTACTCCGCGCCCTCCTCCAACCTGACCCAGTGGACTTTCCTCGGCGCTCTTTGGGAGCCTGCCGCGAACTCCTCCCTCGGCGCCCCCGACATCACCGGATCCTACGGCTACAACTTTGAAGTCAGCAGCTTCTTCGACCTCCCCGTCGGCGACTCGGACGAGAAGGCCTGGTTCGTCACCATGGGCGCCGAGGGCGGCAACACAACCCAGCACTGGAAGGAGCAGTGGGCTTTGTGGAACCGCGGAGACGTCGCCCGCCGCGACAACGGCTCCGTCGAGTTCACGCCCATCGCCGGTGCCGCCCTGGACTGGGGTATTTCCTACGCCCAGGCCACCTGGAAGGACACCCGTAACGCCGACCGACGCGTCATGTGGGGATGGGCCAACGACGATATCCTCGGCGACTACGGCTACAACACTTCCAAGCAGATGGGCTACCAGGGTTCTATGAACCTCCCCGTGGAGCTCTACATCAAGGAGACCAAGGGCGTCCAGAACTGCGGCACCCAGCAGGATGGAAGCACCTGCATCGAGAGTTGCAACGGCCACACCGCGCAGACCCTCGGCATGCGCCCCCTCCCCGACGTCCTCGAGCTCCTCCGCGAGGGCGCGCAGACCAACGAGTTCGAGATCGGCCAGCTCACAGACACCACCAAGACTGCCTCCGCTGACCTCGGCACGTCCTACGAGCTGACTGCCACCCTCAGCGACTTCAGCGGCTCCGCGGGTATCATCCTCGCCCAGAGCCCCGACTCCGCCGAGTACACCACCATCAACTTCGACGTCGAGGCCTCAGAGATCAGCGTCATCCGCACCCACAGCAGTCTGCTGCCCAACTTTAACAACGCCACCTTTGTCGGCCACTTTGAGCCCTACCAGATCCACGAGAAGGGCGCCAACGCGACCGTCACGGAGGAGCTCAACTTCCACGTCGTGCTCGACAACTCTCTGCTCGAGATCTGGGTCAACGAGCGCTTCGCGCTAACGGCGCGCATTTACCCCTCGCGCAACGACAGCACGGGCTTGACCTTCTTCGCTGCCGAGGGCGGCAAGGCTACCTGGAAGGACGTCAAGGTCTGGACTGGCCTTGCGCAGGCGTGGCCTGAGAGGCCGGAGGATTCCAGCGTTCCTTTGGTCTGGGATACCGCTGAGCAGACGAACAACTACACTTGGTGGGCCGGATACTAGGTGGAATATTAGTCCATAGACCTAGAAGTGATGAACACTAGATGATGATTTTACGCATGATTACAGTATAGAGTAATACCTATTACCACAAGTAAAAGTTTTGATATAACACTCACGATTCCTTGCCTCTCACTGCCTGCATTATGAGATCAGTGATATGTTCATGAATAGTCTTCCGGTGATAGAGAGCCTTATGCTCATCTGAACGCAGGATTTCGGTAGCTCAATGGCCATACAGCTCAATCTCAGCTGTCTTTAGCTCACAACGCACAATTTGAGCCATCTCGGACGCAAAACTATTAGCAGACGATTGTCACCGACATCAAAAAGGCGAAAATGAAAGGGACGAGACTCGAACTCGCGCGGGTTGCCCCACCAGGAAACAGATGTTAAGCTGACCTTAACCTGGCGCCATAACCAACTCGGCCACCCTTCCGATGGTGATCCTTGAATATCCGTGGATCGGTGTGGTTGAGGTCGGGGGCGCGGGTGAGGGAAGATAAAGCCCTAGAGTGGAGCATCGTGAGATTTTTCTTCAGGTGAAAACTTTCCGGAGCGGAGTCCGGCTTCGTGGGATGTGGGGATGACGCCGTTGCCACTAAGCTGGGACCCGATTCACGGAAGGACGGCAGTGGCTTTGGGGCTACGGGTATCGCGAGAAAACGAAACTGAAGATTTTCATCGTAGTTCGTAGGCCCAGTCCAGCCTAGATCAGCTAGCATGAGCAGGTGCTTAGCTGAGCGCAAGATCTGGTCACACTGTAGATATTCGGGTCTGTGCTAGTCGACGTGAGACTTGACATTAGAATCGCTCATTAAATCCAGATCAGCCAAGTTAAGTGGAGCGAGAGTCACTCATCAGCAGAGAAGCTCCAAGTCCAAGTAAGAAGTAAGTGAGAGTCCAATGATTATGATGGGCCTCTTGCTCAATCAAAGCAATAAAGTCAAGGCAATTCCTTTGTCATCGCCATAATGCTCAAGCTTCAATGATCTCGGGTTCAGGCCATGTTGAATGGTGTTCCTGAGCAGAGTAATCTACACTGAAGACGAAAGTGAGTAAAGAGCACGTTGGCTAAGCCAATGATCGCGACCCATCGAGTCAAGGATCGAATGGTCCGGATCGCCCTCCCTCCCTTCGCCTACACGAAAAATGTGGCTACACGAGCTCGGAGCTGTCAAAACGGCAGGCCAAGCAGAAGATGCCACCCAATCATCCGGTAAACAGGTGTCATTGCTTCCCGTCTTGCTGCACATCTAAGCACTCTAAGTCGGCTCATCCATGGATTTGTTCACCCATGTGGAGATCTTCCGTGTGCACTGGTGGCTAACGATCGCGATCATCGCCTTGGAGCACCCAATTTGGTGCTGCGCGGCCCGTGACGTCATGCATACCTACCCAAATACGGTAAGTACCTAGCTCGAGCAGATACGCGCTTGACGTCGGCGGCGGCTGCATTCCAGCTGTTTGCTCGTGCATGATTTCTTCCCAAATCATGATTTTCAGCTGTCTCAGCTTCGTAGCCCCATACGAGCCGATGAACCTCGAGACGACTTCAAAGATTGGAGGTCCCCCGCATCGCCGTCGAACGTCTATCCCATCGCTTCTTTCCGCCTACGAACAGGAACGACAGCAACCATGTTCAAGGGTAAACCTAGCGACATGGACGAGATGGATTCACACGCACCGCCTCCACCTCCGCCAACCACAGCACCTCCGCCTCCGCCTGTAGCTTCAGAACCCGGTGTAGACACCCCGGCGAGCCAATCTAGCTATGGATACTCCAGCCAGTCGACAATGGGACAGGAGCCCGAGATAGTAGAAGCACATGAGGAGGAGAGACCAACAGACAGCCATCACCTGGCAGACATGGCTGCCAAGGAGAAGCCGATCGAGGAGAAGGGGCACGCCGAGCTTGACCACGATCATGTTGAAGTGAAGAACTTGGGATGGAACAACCCGCCCAGCAAGGTTGCGCAGCCCATGGTTGGCGGTCTGAGCAACGAGGATCTCTGGATATTGGTTCGACGATTTGACAAGGTAGAGCGAGCCGAACGAACTCTATGCTGAATTATGCCATCCGAAGGGATACTGATACTTTTCTAGCAAATCTTCCATGTCAAGTCGATTCCCGAGCCACCGGTGAGCTTGCCATTCCAACTTGCCGCGTATCAGCAGCTAAATATAGATGGGCAGCTTGCAAACCTGGACATGAACATCGCCGACGAGGAGGAGTTCTCGCCTGATAAACTCCGCGCCCATGTCGAGCGCTTGTACATGACTGTTGTTGTTGGCTTATTCTCTTTCTGGAAGCATATTGTCCGTCTTCGTTCATGGCGCGAGTACAAGCGCACCTCACTTTTCCTCGCAGTCTACTCCATCGCCTGGATCTTCGATTACGTCGTCCCCGTCTTCGCCAGCTTCCTCATCGTACTCATCCTCGTCCCGCAATCGCGAGACTTTTGTTTCCCTCCCGCCCCCGCTTCCCTCATCGACAGCAAGACCGGCGGTGTCAAGAAACCCGCATCCGGCGTCCTCGCGTCCGATGACTCGATTACCGGCGCACCCGAGAAGCACGCAGGAGAGGCTGTGGAACAGGAGGCGTCGAGCTTCGTGAACAGCATCTCATCGCTGATCATCAGCACGGCGGCGGGAAAACATCCTCAAGGCGATCCCCACGACGACTCTTCTGTCCCCGACCCTACTAACATGACCCAAGATGTCGTCAATGCCAAGGATAAGACGGACGGCAAGGAACCCACTTCCCACCACGACAAGACCAAGAAGCCTGTTCACGAGTCCGTTTGGGTCAAGGCTAGGCCTGTGATGCATGGCATCGCCGACGTGAGTACTCCGACCCGTAAGCTACTTATTCATGTAACTAACAGAATGCACAGTTCGTCGATACCTGGGAGCGTTTCGGAAACGCCCTGAGCCCAACTCCACCATTCCCTCAGCAGAGACCCCGTCTTGTCCTTGCTAGCGTTATCTTGCCACTGCTACTCGTCTCTTTGTTTACAACCTCGTACATGGTGGTCAAAGGCACCGGGTTTGTGGTTGGATTCACCATCTTTGGAGACCCCATCATCCAAAGAGGCCTGGTGTTTATCAACCGGTCAGTTTTTCTTTCAACGTTGATTACTCGCGTGTCTAAAGTATGTCCAGCACCTACCCTCAATGGCAGAAGTATGTTGAATTGCGAAACACCATTCTCAAGGGCATTCCCACCAATGCCCAAGTCACCATCACACTCCTACGTATCGGCGAGCGGAACAAAGCCCCGCTTCCACCTCCGCCAAAGTCCGATGTACCGCCACCTGATGAACCTCATGCAACCGCTGGCCAGGACCTGGAGCATCTCGGTGAGTAACCTATGATTTCGAAATATTGCTAAGCACTGGCTCATAACTCACTAGGCGTAGATCAAGCAGAAATAGACGAAGCCATTCAGCCCGACGAGGCAGCTTTGGCGCCAGCTGAATCGGAAACGGCAGAGCACAAGCAGAAGAAGGGCCATCGTATCATAAACTTCATCAAGAGCACCGCCAAGGGCGGCATCAACACCACTCTCGCTGCGGACAAGGTAAAAGCCAAGGTCGGCGCTAAACACGCAAAGGACAGGCTGGGCGTCGTCAAGAAGACGCCTGATCCCGAGAAGGGTCCCGTCCGCTTCCCCGCGCGCTGGAAGGGCAAGAGGGGGCATGCTTATATCACGACTACAGCCACGACCCCCGCGCTCAGTTGGACGACGGAGTCAGATGACTTGAGTCCGACGTGGACTGTCACAATTGGTGACATTGAGGTGAGAACTTTCGGCACTGTTTCTCCTGATACCATGACTAATGTGTATTCCGCTAGCAAATTCGCAAGGTTGGCGGGCTTGGTTGGAAGTCCAAGATCTTTGTCGGCTGGGCTACCGATCGTGAGATTGCAGACGGCCTGATTGTGACGGATAGCATGGGCAAGGAGTACCATCTTACTGCTATCATTTCGAGAGATGAACTCTTTAATCGTCTCGTGGCCTTAGGTTCGCAGATGTGGGAGGCCTGGTAATGAGGTTATGACATTTATGAGAAGGGAAAAGGACTGTAACACATACACGGCGTTCCAGAGAGATTGAATTATGCGGGTGGGGTACAGTATACGATTTTCATTAGCTGTACAGCAAACGGATGAATCATAGCAGTCACGAGTCATCAATACGAACTCTTGGGAAATACGAGTCTACTCGTTGGCCTTCGGGAAACCACCAAAATGATTCGGTTTTTCTGTCTTGTCTTAGAACTGACAGGAACAGCAGGTGGCTCCGAATTCCTACAAAAATGAACAATATCTATGTGACTGCTTATCCAGGCCTCATACTGTGATTCAGGGCCTTGCCTGACCTGCCTCGCTCTGCAACATTTAGCTAATGAAATCTTGACATGACTGTATCGTGTGAACACCTCCCTCCATCCTCTCTCTGTCTACTTCTAATCCCTCGAGCTTCCCGCGTGCTCATCGCGGACACTGCCCACTTTACCAAGTTTCCTCCCTCGCCTCTCAAGATAGGCGATTAACAAAATCACCGGCACAGTCAACGCGCCCGTCACCAGACTAGCAATGTATCCTTTCCGATAATTCGGTGCATCCGTCACGGGGTAAAAGATCAGAGGCCACCACGTCTACGTTTCATCAGTCAGTGCCAATCAAATGCGATTGGGGGGAATAAAAATAGGAGGTCCACTCACCACAAACGCAAAATCAAACGAATTCATGAACCCCGTCGTGATAGCCCTCAGCTGCAGATCGTGCGCCGTCAGGTCCGCCATCCACGAGTACCACAGCGCCTGCGGCGCATATGTTGTACCCATGAGATAAAACGCGAAGAAGTACCCTGCGTCCGGCGGGTCCGAGATTAAGATTGCGCTGCTGACGATGAACGTGAACCCGATGCAGAGCGAGGCCTGCCAGCGCGAGCGAAGCTTATCGGAGACGGCGCAGTAGATGAAGGTCGCGACGATGCCCGTGGCGTAGGTCGCGGTCGGGTAGTTGTTTTGCTGGATTACGGAGTAGCCCCGGGATGCCATCCAAAGGGGTATGACGTTGTTGCCTATTGCTTGGACGCTGAGGGAGTAGACTATGTTCGCACGTCAGTAACATTCCAAAGGCTAAACGGTTGTGAAGACTCACGCATGAAGACGGTTGGGAGAAGCCAGAACTGCCAGCTGAGTAGGACACGTTGGAATACACTCTTGTCCCATGCTTTTGTCTGTGTTCTGCCGAGGCGGGTGACGGCGAGATCCCTCTCTTCCGGGGTCAAGAATCTCGCTGCGCGATGCTCTGGTAGATCTGGGATAGCGAACCAGCCTTTCAACATGTCAGCTATCAGCCAAATCATGCCATGAGCACATGTAGGAACCCACCAAAGACGGCAAAGGGGATGGTGATGCACGAAACCACTATGAAAATAAGTCGCCAGGGCTCAATCGGGCCGTTAGAAAGAGACGCCAGAAGTCCCGCCTGGATCCAGCCTCCTGCCATGTTGCCGAGGTTGCCAAAGGCGCAGAAGACTGCTGCACGGGTGGCTAGCTCGGATTGCTTGTACCATGATCCGTAGATGAAGTGCGCGCCGACACTGAGCAGTATTGTTAGAAAAAGAAGTAGGTCGTTGAGGCGCATGGGAAAACTTACTATGCGATGGCTGAAAAAGCGCCCTCGAAGCCGTTGAGGACGAAAACTTGGTAGACGTGTGTTGCTCTAAATGTGACGAGGGTGAGGACGCTCCAGACTGTGTTCGCTGCGACGAAGACGTAGCGGGGTTTTACGATGGTCAAGAGTGAGGTTGAGGGAATTTGAAATACGGCGTAGGTGACTAGGTAGATGGTGTGCATGTAGTTGAAGTCCTAGAGTCGGGTCAGTAATTCTATCTTGCATACAAGCTTTTGGAAGTTCCTCTTGTTGAAGTATCTGGCGTCGCTCACCTTTCCTTGGAAATTCAGGTCCTCCTTCATGCCGCTGATATACGCTGTATTGTAGCTCGCGCGGTTGACGCCGAACAAGAACCACACGACAGAAAAGTAAATGAGCACGGTGAAATCAAGCTTGATAAGCAGCGATCGCTCAACCGACGGCGGGCCCCAGAGGGCTTCCTTGATCTTTGACACCATCTCAGACACGGGCTGCTCACGTTTTCGATATGAGAGTGTCGAGCCGGGAAGCAGCGGCGCCGCCTCCTCAGAGGTTGCACCCGGCATTTTGTTTGTTATTTGAAGCGAGCCCGCACGCCAGCCCGTGTACTACCGTCCAGGGTGCCACTGGGGTTCAGCGATGTCGTCTTGAAGGGTTGGACATTTCGCCATCCCCAAATATCCCATGGGGAGATAAAGAAGGGAAGGTCGTTGGGCTTAACCGAGGTTCGGCCGATGCCTCTAACTGCAACCATGAAGGGTTGATCCTGTCATCAGAGTTACACCCGTTCGGTACTAAGGCTTACAAAGGTTCTCTGGATCAGATGCTGAACCCCGCCTAACCCCACTACCCGCGGATTGCGCGATCTTGTCCGTTTTGATGGACATCTGAATGGGATAAGAGATAAGACCGTCAGCTTAAACAACCCCCGACTTCTTCATGCAACTGGTGGCGAGATAAGGTACTTCTTGGAAGATCTTCAAATGGTCACTTTGTTTCATACATATTGTCGGTACTTTATTCAGACTTGATATCGGCATATCTGCTTCTCGGTCGATAATTGAAAAAAAGAATGTAGAAAGGGATCATCTAATTGCTATGCGTGTCAATTACTCCAAGACAAAGACTATACTGCTCAGACCCGACTGAATGAGCAACTTAACACGGATTTCCTACCATGTATTCAAGCAAGGGTCTAGTCAAACAAAAAAGACGATAAACGTTGTCTTGCCTCTGCGTCTTCCCATTCCACCAATATCCGTTCCTTGGACTCCTCAATTTTGATTTGCACCATGGTGTCCATAGCAGCTTGCTCTTCCGAGCTGAGAAGGTGGATTCTAGTCTTCCAAAGCTCGCTTTTGGGAATATTGCCATTCTGGTCACGTTGGCCAAAGAACTTTTCATCTAGATATTTCCAGTAAATCGCATCGAATGCCCAGCTCTTCCTCGCGGCATAGTTTAGCCAGAAACGCCCCGTGGCCCAGCTGTCTCGCATATAAGCTGAGAGAGGGAACGGCAGACCTGAGTTCCCCGCCTCCTTCTCTGCGTCTTCCAAGGCTGACAGCCATGTCGGGAGACGTCTCTCGTAATCAGTGGCCCAATCGTCAACACCCTTTTCCCTGGATTCGGGTACATCGAGCAGCAGCCACCAGGGTGAATCCAACGTGAACTGGGTTGGCGCGACGTACGAAAATTCCCAGTCGATAGTCCCAAGAACGTTGCCATTGTCATCGATGACAATATTATCCGGCCTAAAGTCGTCACACCACAAACGGAAAGAGCCCGAATTATCAGGCATCGGCATGGTAGCACGCGTGTGCTTAGCCAGGGCTGACCAATCGTCCTGAGCAAAGCCAAAGCTCGATAATCGGCCTTGCTTGGCTAATCTGCGGAAAAGTTGGCGTGCGACGTATTTGGTCCTGCAGTCATCTTCCGAGGATATCATGTCGTTGTGCTGAAAGAGGAGCGTTGCCATTTGCATCTCGGCCAGTTCCACGTACCACTCATCGGCCGTCTGGTACGTTTTGTCTTTCGCCGGTAACACCGACTTTGGTATGTTGGAAAGTTTGACCATATTACTCATGTTAAAGGTAATGGGCCGTCCTGCCACGCAAATAGATCCTGGGCTGGTCTCGACAAGAGCCCCAATACGCGAGAACGTAGGTCGTGTAAGCTGCAGCACGCATTGTGCAATCTTGTAATAGCGGTCCTTGAGTTTGGTTTCGGGAATATCAGGGTCCAATAAGAGTCTACCAGAATCCGGCGGTGACAGGCCGTGCCCCAAGGTTTTCCTTGACCCCATGTCTTGAATAACGAGGAACGGGCCGAGGCCAGAAACAGAATCGACACCATACTGGTAAACCTTGGGAACTATGAGCTGAGTGAATTGGGCAAGGTATCTCGCTGTTGCGGCTTCGCTAAGCATCGTTTCTTCATGTAGAATTCCTTGACTGAGACAAGGCAATCGCATCAAGACGTTTGCGGGAGGAGTTTCGCCGTCTAGTCGAAAGGGATAGAGGACGTGGAATCCACCGAGAATTACCGCGCCGATGACCTTTCCGGGCGAACCCATCACGGTCTCGGCAAAGGCCTCGATCTTTCGAGTGTGTGATCTCAAAGAGATTTGCTTAACATTTTCGTCCCAGAGTTCATCGGTCTGGTCCCATTTCAGGTTGTCAGAGTCCTGCCTAGCTATCATTGCGCTGGAAAATGATGAGAGGGAAGATGGAATGCAAACGTGGAGGGGCTGGAACCACCAACCAACATCGTGTGGTGTTTAAGGCCATGAGTGCCTAAGGCTGCAAAGGTCGTTGGGCAGCTGAAGGCGGTGGAAGTTAGTGTGGGGGTTGGTGAGTGTCTTGGCCATAACAGGCTTAAGGAGGCGTAGCAGTTGACGTCCAACGGTAAACCCATTGACAAAACCTTCAGGGCCCAAACAAAGACATCCAGTTCGCCCAGTCTTCGGTGAGTCTTGCAAAACCCAAGAGGGTCATGCATTGTGGAGCTACGATAACACATCAAGCATTCTCTGGTCAAAGCCATTGAATTCGACGTTGGGGGCAGGCGCCGAATCGCGCAGAAGTCTTTGATCAATGTCGCTCGGTCCACTAACATCCATATTTCACTTACCCAGGACAATCCCGACTTGGCAGGGCGCCTTTGGCAGACGATATCAGTTTACTAAGACTTACCTCCACAGACCGAACAACGTAAAAGATTTAACAAAGTAACTGTGTCGTGGAGTTAAGTACTTGACAGGACTCAAGGGCTTAGTCTGAGGCGACTGAGTAGGGGGAAAGGCAGTCAGCAACTTGATCCTGTGGATACTAGCAGGGCCTGAAGCCTGGCGGTGATGCCTAGTGATACTATCTTGAAGAACAAATTCTTGGCATTCGCTTCGAACGGTTAGAGGTGTAACAACCTCAATGTTCGGAATAAAGGTGGGAATCTGGGGGACTATCCCGGCAAAGAGAAACGGAGCATGAGTTTTGGTAAGCATATGGGTGAAGACTGAACAATTTGATGCTGAGAATAAGGCGCTTGCTCGGCGGTAGACTGGGCGAGAAGTTCAGGAGCAAGATCGTAAGCGATTGATGTCTTCTTACAGCAAGAAGATCGAACAGTTGGATAAAGGGAACATTGAACTATTTATGAAATAGAGAAACCTTTGCAATTAAGTGTTTGAGTCCAGAACACATTCAGTCACTCACTTAAGCAAACAAGCCATTACGACACTTCACAAATCAAGCAGAATACCTGGCATTACATCCCACCTGGTGGCATATCCGTTTCTCCCGTTGCATATTCCGAATAACAACAGTAACATGCATGTAACTCTCCTTTGACTAGCCACATATATTGACTGACGCCATTGAATATCAGGTCTGATACAGTCAGATTCCATAATAACGCAGAGCGTGCGGAAGCGCTCTACGAGCAAATGTTCGAAGAGGGTAACCTCGGTCATGAGAGAGGCAAAGCAAACGAGAAGGAAAAGAAGGAAAAAAGGGAGGAAGAGAAAAAGGGAAAAAATGAAGCTATCATGGACATGACGGGGCAAGCAGCTCAGGAAAGGCGCCCGGATCCCAATGAGCAAATCATGAGAGATACTGGGAAGGCGAGCCGAGAAAGGCGTGGAATGAAAGATGGCGAGAAGAAGGACGAGAAGAAGGACGAGAAGAAAGCGGCATAGCTTACAACCGAATCCCATCATTCGACGTCGTAACATACTTTAGAAAGGTCTTGGATATTCGTCCGCAAGTTTATAGGCTCATGTCAATTCAACATTGTCTCAGTAATCGAAGAAGCACCAGTACCCAAGCTTGAAACTGGTAATTTAGAATACATGCAAGGGTACCTCATTGCGCCGCCTATAGATCAAATGACTGCTTCGGTTCAAGCAGGCAGTCGTCTCAGAGTACGTAGGCCGCGTTGGTCTAGGCAACAGCCAACGCTGCCGTGTATTTAAGTACTTAAGCACGGCCATTTCAACTTTCTATCCAAAGGGACTTTGTGCATCTCCCCATAACCATTACATGTAGCATTTGAAAACCTGAGATTGGCAGTGTACACCTTTCGTAATGGCCCTTGAACTTTTCATCCCATCCTGCGTCAGATCTCCTCCTGGGCATCTGAATTTACCGGATATTGAGCGGCCGCTCAGAATAAGCATCGAAGGTCCGCGACAATCGATCAAAAAGCTATTCTCGTCTGCTGTATGGGATACTCGCAACTTTGACGGGAAGTTTCCTCAGGAAGCTGGTCCAGCACTCGCAGCGCTGACATTTCGGCACGTTTATGGGGTGAGCGTCCGTTCTCATGTCCTTGGTGACATAGTCGTACGAGACGAGTACATTGGGTGGATTACAGGGGATGAAATACCTGTGGAGTAAGTTCCGGTCCAGTACTGACTGAAAGTACTGCAGCTAACGGCGTGCCTCTTTCTGGATAGCGACTCTGACTACTATGGTGTGACGTTTGATCATCTTGTTCCTGTGGACGACGCCGACCCGGAAGTACTACAAATCAACATCATCGAGGTGGAGTCTGATGAAGGAAAGACCGCCAACGAATACTTGAGATTTCCGGTCGATGCACTGGAATATACAGGAAAGAAGGTATTGGCCGTTTCCAGATATTGTCAGAAACGAAAGGGCACTACAGATCGCGCAAGGGTCAATAACGGTGTTTTGCACAGGGATGGGCATCCCAACCCGTGGATGCAAAGCAAGTAAAGCAGTGGTAGGCCAATGTCGTGACCGTCAATAGTTGCATGCTTGAAGGGCGGCGTAGTTTCTCCTCATGAATGGTATACGCCTTTCCTCAACAGTCATACCTGTATGACAGCCTCTGAGGTATGAATCATCTCCAGTCTATATCTAAATAGAATCTTGGCACTAGTAAGTTCAACGTATCTTTATCTCAGTGCTCACAGAAACTCCACTCTACATCTCTCAGCTCGTCATTAACAGTCTTTGACAAAACTGTTCTTTCCTTCATGAGCTCTTCGCGCATCTTCTTTGCTTCGTCCATTTCAATCAGAGCGCTCATGGTCTCAACCATGTCGTTCGCTCCATGAACCTGGTCTTTACCCTCGAACCAATGCTTCTGTTGAGGAGGCACATTCGCCGTCGAAATCACGGGAACAGCAGGATCGACCAAGAACAGAGCCACAATCTTCCTATACCCAGGCTTCGTCGGATCCTCCAACCTGAAAGGCCGCACCCTATGCTGGCTCAAGTTCGAGAAGAAGAGCGTCCTTCCCGGCCGCGTCAGCACGCTGCCCACCTCTTGCAGGGTATCAGAGCTACTACGGATAGCAAAGACCTTTTCGATGGACTTGTGATCGTACTGCTGGTAGTTGAGACGCTGATCCAGCTTCTCCCTGTTCCCTGGAGCGCGGAAAGCGAGCAGGGACTCGGTGATGTTAGCGCTATCGTAGTAGAAGAGCGCTGTGGCGCAGATGTGCTCGTTGAGTTGACCTTCGATATGCCATGAGCCGCCGTCGTAGGTTGGCTTCTCGGGCGTAAGGTGAATGTTGGCGAGCTTGACGATGACTTGGATGCGGGGTGCGTTGTTGAAGAATCCGGCTTGTTTAATGTTCTTGGGCGACAGCCTGAAGTACGAAGAGGGCTCTCGGACTTGCTCGTCTTCACTGTCGCTGTCATCGTCGTCGTCGTCATAGTCGTAATCATAATCTTCCTCATCGTCGCTTTCATCACAGTCTTCATCGTCGTGCTCATCATCCTCAGAGGCCGCATCGTCGCTCTTCAGTCGCTTGCTTTCGTGGGCGTCTCCGCGTTGTCTGCCTATCTTCTCTCCAATAGCAGCTGTGGGCTGGACCAAGTCGTCAACCTCCAGGCGATGGCATTCTGGCATATCCATGGGAACATCATTTTCGTTTCCGTCTAACTGGTTCCCCTGCTCAGGGACAGCATCGGGTATCGCAACACGCTTTCCAACCTTTCGAGCCCTGAGACGCTGCACCGGGAACTTTCTCACCCAGCGATAGATGATGTCCCAGGCTGGCAAAGACTTCTGTATCAGCTCTTCGATTAAGGGGTACAGATCAGAATGTTCCCTTGGGTGCAAGTTATTGACATAACTCTCGATGGTGGTTCGGCCGTCTTCGTTGATAGCGACGTCAGATGGTAGCCACTGAAACTTCGTGGATACTAGCTCAATAGGTGCGCCTTGCCAGTCGAAAGTTCTACCTTCACCAACGTCAGACTCGTCGGGTTTCGGTATGAGGAATCCAGGTCCGCCAATTTCGAGGCAGTTGTCTAATGTGATACGTTGATGCATGATACGTGAGCGGCCGTACAAGAGTGGGAAGAGTGACGGGTGCACCAAGTCGAGAACTTTACCGTCACTTCCCGGATGCCAATCCTTTGCGACGTCGGGAATGTCTTCGAGAGATTTGACGGCGACTTTGAGGCGATCAACCAGGGAGCTGGGTAGCAGCTTGTCTGACTTGATGACACAAGTAGAGTAATCCAGGGCAGGAATGAGGCCCGTTTCCTCGTACAACGCTGCCTTTTTTCGAAGTTCTTGCATGCACTTGGAATCTCAATCTCAGCTCAATCAATGCAATTGCTTCTTCGTGGCCATGTGAAGGTTAGATGAACTGGACTGAAACTTACCGCTTCAGCCATGTTCTTCGTGAAGTCACCATGGCTTCTGTATGCCGCCCAGTCCAAAGTCTGCACTTCCTTCTTCCACTTGGCGGAAATCACTGGATCTCGAACTTTGCGCCACCATTCAGGCTTGTTCGTAATATCTTCCATGAACTTAAGCATGCATACTTCTCGAATTAACAGAGTACTAGCTTTCCAACTCTTGTTGGTGTCCTCCATGAGCACTGGGAATCTGTCTCGCTTGTCTGGCAGGTAGTTCAGCGGCAGGCCATAGCCAGGAAGCCGGATCGTCCCGGATGCATGGGCAATAGACTGAGGTCGAAGTCCATGGTTCTGGTGTTCAGACGTTAGTTACTGTTCCGTGATATGGAAAAACACCGGCTGGGTGCGTACGCTGAATTGGTCGAATTGTAGTTCGGTCATTTTGAATAATCTAGTAAAAAAATCAAAGCTTTAGGAGGTGGGGTGCTGAAACTGGCAACCCAGATGAACAGGTTGCTGAAGGCTCCAAGTTGTTCTCAGGTGCATTTTTATCAGAGGTAGCCCGTACAGCGAATGGCACGAATGGTATTTTATGTTCGTAAATAAAAGTCACTGGTTTGATCGGCTCGGGGATATTTCAGCGAGCTAGAATATTGTCCGCCAGTTGCCTGAACCTAAATTTATGGAACTTAAGGAACATGACTCGGTGGCGAGATGTCACTTCAGTGAATCTGTGAACATCAACATGCAAATGCTGTTCAGTGAGGCCAAGGGTTAAAAGGTTGACGCTGCAAACTTCTTGTCCAGCGATCAATAGTAAGTACGGTGAGCGATGGTATATCTCAAAATGGGACGTTTGCTGATATGCAGTCATAATCTAGTGTACATCATTTTTTGAACGATGCAACTGTGTGATGGGGAAGCTCGGAGCTATTCTCAATCGCAATAGAGGTAATGCACTCTCTAGACCGTCTTCGCGTTCACCATGAAGCACACGGCTGCCCGCCCTCGACTTGTTCTCAAGATCATGGTAGCCATGGAGTTCTTCGAGGTCACAGTGCTGGAAAATAAAGACTCATCTGCATGGATTGTAGATTATTTTCTTGATATTCATTACCTTATCTCGAGTCGCAATTTGGGTGTTTGACACATGATATACGCTGATAGATGGAGTACGTTGATAATTCGGGGAAGGCGATAAGTGACGGCTCAGGTAGTATTCGGCTTATTGCGGCACATGGGAAAGGACCGACAAAATGAGCGAGCAGGAGGGGACTCTAGGGAAGGTACCAGTGTCTGCCTAGTCTTGGCATCATGCAAAGCGTGGCAGGCGTGCAAGTCCCGCGCTGGAAAGGTTCAGTGATACCGATTGGAGGATGACATGTTTGTAGTGCAGATCATCATCCCATCCTCCAAGTCTTGATCTGCATGTGTCTTTGTGTTGCCAAAACGGCGTCGATAATAGAAGCAGCGCTAATGGACTCAAGAGAAATTCCCTGATGAAAGTGAGTTAGGTACACTTCCAAGACCAACTTCAACTCGAGAAGTTTTCCAATAGACTTGAAGGGGTTTGTTTGGTATCACTTATCATTAAGTATTCGGTCATAAGTGAGAAAGCCTGAGGAGGTATCATCTGGGTAGATCTTGGTCCCGACACTGTCATGCACCATCTCTCACAGAGGCATCGCCAAGGCAACACCAGCAAGCGCGGCAAAAGCCCATACCGTCGCCCGTATTCCTACATTACCCCCCGCAGTCGTCATTCGGAGGCCGTGAGCCGCACTAGACGCCCCCGTCCCCGTCGGAGCCGAAGACCCGCTAGCAGCCGTCGTGCCGCTTCCACCTGCGCTGCTGGTCCCGGTCTGCGCAGCCGCGTTATGAATCATTGTCACTGCGGGTCTCGAAGCGACCGGAATCCAACCATCAGCCTGGGCATTGGTAAAGGTCCGCGTGCTAGTCCTAATGTTGTAGCTGGTGGGTGTGTACGAGTATACAGCTCCGGAGACGACGGTATTGTTGTAGGTGAAGGTCGCTTGCGCCATGGTCAAATTGCCAACGAGCCGCTGACACGCCGTCATTGCGCCGTACGCAGACTCTGGAACTTGCGAGAAGCACTCTCCGTTGAACCCCACAGTGTAGCCGCTGATGCAATAATATTCGTTAACCTCTGGGAAAACTCTGCTATAAGTTGCCGCGACCTTGAACTTACTCGGGACAGCAAATGACCGCAGTCTCATTACTTTCGAGAGCCTCCATAAGAACGTTGACGATGGGGTTATACGCCAGCCTGTCACTCATGTACCCGGACCCAAACGGCACGCTGACGATAGGCGGGACAAAGACTCCAGACGAGCTGATCGTGCCCTCGGCATTCTTTGCAGCGACACCAGCTGTCGTGTACTGATCAGGACAGACGCTTGCGGGCGAGAAGTAGGCAATGGTGCCCGCGTCAACGGTGGCAGTGGCCGCTGAATGGATCTGATCGAAGACGGTGCCGGAGGGGAAACACTCGCCGTATGCCGAACCTTCACATTTCTGACGGAAGAAAGGTTGGACGCGGTCTGTCAAGACGGATTCTGCGGCCAGCCAGAGGCCCGGGGATGAGGTAGCGCATGAACTAGGCGCAGTGAATATTGTTGTCAGCGGCCCGACGTTTGTGATTGCATGTTGTGAGAGTTCGGTGAGAGGCATGTTGGGCTGGCCTGGATTCGGAGTTACACTATACTCTCTGTTAGGGTTCTGTGTCTGCTGAACAAAAGTCGACTATGAACGCGGTTTGCTAACAACGGGTTGAGGGGAAGTCGCTTTTAACTATAAGCTGACAGCACCAAGGGGGTTGCAATGAGAAGGCGCCAAAGACAGCGGCTTGCATATTTTTCTCTTGGCAGAGACATGTCAGCTCGGTCTACCGCACTGCTCTCCAGGTTTATCGTCACATTAGGTTGTTTGCTAGCGTCTTCAAGGGCCAGGCAGACACAAGTCGGGCAAAGAGGGCATGTTACATTTCGTCATTCCACTGCCAGATTCAGCGACAAATGTGCTGTGCCGCACCAGGTCAGCGAGCTTAAGCAGTCTTGGCATGATTCAAGCTCTGGCGACGATCAGGAACATATCCTAAGCAAGGAAGATTGTTCTGCGTGTAGCCAGCCCTGCACGGCGCGCCTCGGACCGCCGATGGTCGGTGAGGTGAGTTGGGTTAGGATGGGTGAGATGGGTGAGTGGTCAGGCGGCATCTGTTGCCGGCGGATTGGTGGGAATTCCCGGGTAGCATCTTGGCGTCGTGGTTTGAAGGATTCGATAATCTCACTCTTTTCCATTGACCCCAAGGGAGCGAGCGTTGTGGGAACTTTTGAGCAATGTCATCAGAGTCGGCGAGCTTGCGATCGAAGGCAATGACATCAGATGTCCCAGATGGAGGGCCAAGATCGGGCGCTTTCGTTCGCTCATCCCATCGCTCCGTTTAAATTGCTCTCCGCGAGAGTCTGCCCTAGGTCCTTGGCGAGATCTACGGCGCCCTCCTGGGCTTCCCCGCACGGCGATGCTAACTACCAAGATGGTGAATTGCGCGATGGTACTGCGGCAGGTACCGAGATAGTCGACGTCGATCAATTTGATAAAGCGAAATGGGAGCGACGACTGGGCGTTCGACGTCCGGTCGTTTGTAAAGGGTATATCAACATCCCTAGACTCGTTTCCGTGGCCCTCTGCTTGAAGGCTCGAGAAGATCGTATTCAAGGTGTCTTTGAAGAGGCGTCTGGCCTACGCCCAATCTCAAAAAGGAAATGGCTTAAGACGACTTACCAAAGGCGCGGATCAAAATTCATCAACAGTGTGGTTCGACGCCTAGGATGTACTCAATGGAAATGTCATTGCCTATGACTGACTCTGTGGGGATGGCCCCCGGTATCTGATTTAATCCTGAACTCCGTCTGGTCCTAATTCTTCTGGGGCCGTCGATGACACGATGATGCTTTGGTTGACCTTGTAACCCAATCCCCTCCAAACGCCAATGCCAATGCTGCGAAACACACAAACATCATCAACCTGTCCCTCATGATGGGTACCTCATCCTGTGGATAGGGCCTCATGGGGCGGTTATTCATGACGAGATAAAAGAAAACACCCACTCAGCAGACGTCCAACGTCGGGCACGCAGACTCAACGATGCGCGACGCGAGATTCGGACGCAGGACACGCTGGAAGTGGCCCAACTCGCTCCTCGGCTCATGTCTCTTGACCCTAGCCGTCGCCGTCTCTCCCTCCTTGGCCTCCTCGACCACATCAACAAAAGCAAGCCTGCTTCTCGCCTCGCCGGCAACGATCTTGGCCGTATGCGCAATCGCTCGCTCACTCAGCGTGAAGGGCGAGTGAAAGAGGTACTCCTCGGGCTTATCGCACGCAGCGTACCCTCCGCTCGCAGCCTCAGCCGTCTCTGAGGTCTTTGCCCAAATACACGGCGTCCACGCCTCAGCGAAGAAGAGGTTATCGCCATCCTCGGTCCTGTTACCCCGGCCTGTGCTGTCTGTGAGGTCGTACTCTCGCATCTGCTTCTCGATAATCGCCTCGCGGACGAAGCTGGCCGTATCGATCTGAGCGGCCACACGGCGGGGGAATGGCACGCGAAGAGCCTCGCCCTTGGGAGCGGCCTTGAGGCCCTGTTCCGCACGGGAACGACGGTAGTGGGCTGTGGCGCGCTTGCTGGCGGGCACGTAGCCGAACTTGCCTCTCTCCTCCTCGGGGTTCTCAGGCTGAGGATCAGCGGTGCGCATCCATTCGTCCATGCGGCCCTTGATCTCCGAGTTCCATCGCGCGGTGAGGTGCGCCGCATTAGTCATCTGTTCGGCCTTGGTGTGAGGGCTAGGCGGCGCCGGACGCTGGGCGTGCCAGCCGGGAGTGAGGGAGACGTCGAAGAGCTCCGGGATGACGACGCGGAAGTTTTCAACCTCGCGCTCGTCGATGTCGCCGCCTTCCCGATCCATGTTGTTCAGCTTGTCGATGAGCGAGGCGTTTTGGTAGGCCCAAAAGTCCGAAAAGGCGACAGAGTCGTTGTCGAGAGCGGCTTGGTAGACGCGCTCAACTTGTGCGAAGAGGGCGCGAGCAGCAAGGTCTACTATACCCTGGCCCAACTCTCGTGGCAGGGAGGCGAGGGTCCAGACATCCCACGTGCCGAAGGAGAAGACCCAGATGGTCTCCTTGGGGATGTTCTCGCGTGTCTGGGGTTGGGCGAGGAACGTGTCGATCTGGGCGGCAAGGTCGGCGACTGTATCGGCGATGGGGAACTGGTCGAGGAGAAAGTCATAGTTAAAGCCCGGCGCCTTGTACTCTTCGATTTCACGCTGGACTTTCTCAATGGTATCGCGATAGTGTTGGTTAGATGTCAAAGCCTGCGCTGGGAGACTGATCAAAGGAGTGAAGGATTGGTGAGAGGAGCATCGGAGCTTAAGGTCATGTTAGTCAACTGTAATTTGAAAGCGACACGAACACAGAAATTAGACCTACCTCTTCACAAAGGGCCTCAGTCCATCCCTTGCTCTTGGCTCCCTTTCCGCTCGACGGCGTCGCGATATCAGGCGATCCAAACGCAACGACTCTCACACCACCAGGTCCGAATCCAGCATCTTCTGCGCTCTTGCCGAAAGGCGACCAGCTCCATCTTGAGCTTGAATCGAATATCGTGTCTGTCGATGTTGGCGACGTGAAAAACTTGCCCAGAAGAAGTAGCCCGCAAAAAGCAAGAACAAGCTGGACAATGAGCCGCGGGCCGCCGCGCAGGACTCGTGTAGATATGAAGGCGAGGAGCATCTTCAAGCTCATGTCGCACTGCTCAAACGGGTTGCCGGAGGCGCTACTGCTGCTGCTACTGCTGTACGCCGCCGGTGATGAAGGCCGCCGTTCGTGGCGGGGGAGCTCCTTTGACATTCTGTGCGAGGTGTGTCGAGGGAACTGAGTTGCGTCGTCAAAGGTGACGATGATCTTTGGGATGAGTCCAGGCGCCACGGTTGGTAAGGTGAGTCGACGGGGCGACCGGCGCGTGGCGTTTCTTCGTTCGAATTTTGCTGTCGTTCCCTCTGTAGTCGCTGCTTAATTTTCCCTGCGTGTCAACTAGCAACAATGATGACGAGGAATATGTCGGTTGCCGTTTATGTTTTGGATAATATTTCGTGATCCCTCAGTATGGTGGTTTACACAGTCCTTCCCGATGGAGTAGGCGCTCGTATGTGTGTGTGGTGTGTAGATGGAACACCGTTGTTGCTCGTGGTACCGTGCCAAGCCGGCAGTCGAAGAGGCGAAAAAGTCAATGGTTGACCGCCAAGAGGTCACTACACCGGACGGGCGGGATGGTTACGTCGGGGACGGATGGTGTGCCGGATTTTCGCCTGTTGATCTATTCCTGAGTATTCCACCGGAGGAGGCTCTACGTAAACAGATAATGAAAGCCGTGGAAACAAGAAAGAAAATGAGGAAAGGTATCTCTGAGGGATGATCAGGTACAAAAGTGTCAAGAGGTCAAAGGGATCCAACAGGAGGAAGGACGAAACAATAACCACACTAAAAGAAGATGGGAAGACGTCCCTTCAAAAAGCAACCTCTCAGACCCTCTTGCAGGAGAAACCGATGGGAATCTTGGTAGGAAAAAAGGGGGCCCTTCCTCCGGGTTTCCAGGGAACACTCGGGATGTGGCCCAGCCTTGAATCATCTGGGCGCTCTCAATGTCACTAACCGACTATTACCGGGTATGGCTACCGTACATTCTCCATGTCACTCGGTACTTTGATATGGAAACTGGGTAAAGAGGCATTCACCGTCGTCACCAATGATTGGAGAGGGAAAGGCGGGAAGGCGGCTTGGTCTGATGGTCTTGTCATCTATGATCCCCGGTTCATCCCAGCTTCCACCTCAACTCGACATTCAGGCGAGCGGGGAGTGGGCACATCGGCGTGGTAGGCCTGTCCTTTCACCTCTTTTACTTTGCCTCATCCTCGCATTTCCTGGGAATGCAGCGGCGGGAGCGCTGAGAACGAACGAAACAGGAGCAGGGCCAGCTGAGGAAGAGAGCCATAGAAACCGCACAACGTTAGTCGGCGCTTGTCACTGCGGTTGCCGCACCGCTCTTGGTGTTGCTGGGGATTGTGTCATCCTTGCTTTGATGTGCAGTCGTCGTAAGCTCGAGTGGAGACCGTCATCTGAATGGGGGTTCTATGGGCTTGCGAAGTGCGCGTGTGTGGCTCAGGCTTTTTTTTGGTTTGGTTTTCTGGGACCATGGTCCTATCCTTTTCTCGGTCCGCCCCCTTGGACGGCGGGGATCAAGGCAATAAGTCTATTTCCATCTATAATAATTCTTAGCAGTCAACACTTAAGAATTAGAGACTATCGATAGAGAGGAGATAGTGAGAGGCAGTGGCTCTACAGACACTCTGTACGGATATCGGCTTCAGACCTGGAGACTCGTGGTGTCACGGTAGCTCAGGGGCTTGCAGACGTGTGTCTGCATCCGTCCAGGAGGCTGGATAGCATGTTGGTTCGTCTTGCGTCGTGTTTGATCCCCCCCGCTGTACCCGCTGCCGCGTTGGTGTCGCATTTCTGCAGGTTACGCAGCCCATTACATTTCTGGGCGCTCCGCCGTCTCTACTAGGCGCCCCAGTTCTGAGTCTTGCTGTCTTGCAACCCCATGGTCCATTGTCCATACCCACCGAAGAAGTCTCGGCCGTTGATGTTTTCTCTGTTTCGGGGGGTCTCATGACGGCTCTGGAGACCGAGACCGGGTATGCTTCTGGCATCTCTCCTCGCCCTCTAGCGGCAAACATGCTCGGGATAATTGCAGGTAGTTGACGGCATGCAGAGTCGGGTTGATGCAGGCAGAGGGTGGAATTTTGCACCAGTGCCTTGAACGTCCATAGGAGTCATGGCAAACTTCCTTTCTCCACATCCCGAAAGCCCTGCCAGCGGTCGAGCCGTGTCAATCATCAGCTCAGAGGAGAGTCAGCGACAGCGGCGAACCCAACTCATCTGGCAATGCATCACGCCAGTGTCTCCATCATTGATAGTAGGTATAGTGGGGAAAGCGGTTGTGCTGCAGGGTGGAAGGATGGTAATCCATAGTCCCAAGCCTTGGAGATTCAAGGTTGTTTTCTTTTTTCTCACACACTCTGTGAGCATATCCTAGGCTCACAGCGAATAGTTCGCGCTCGCGGCCTTCGTGTTCCCCCAAGAAAATGTCTTGACCGACTTGGCTGTGACATGAACGGTTTGTACTTCAGCGAAAGATCAGCCACCTGAGCAGTTCCCGAGCTAACCGGATAGCCGCTGCCGAGACCTTGCAGTTCAGTCTCTCTCAGAGTTCCCCCTCCCGTCAGATTCACCCATCTTCAAGTCGTTGCGGCGCCGAGGACGGCATCTTCGGCCATCTCAATGCTACCATGTCACTTCAAGCTTACCGCTTGTGTGTTGCGTGGCTTGGAGCTATGTGCCGGCCGCCGGGCCATGGGGCGAACCCGAGCGATGCTGCAAAAACACACACATAACAACGAGAGACCATGGGCCATGAAAACAATTGCCCAGTCAATGCTGCCAAAATTCCCGACGGGGAGAAGGGGAGAGACAAGGGGAGTGGAATTCCCTTACCCCTGTTCCCCAAGAATCTTAGCACACGTCATTCTGGATGTCTCCGAGAAATTCCCAATCCTCGTCCCGCCCCTCAGAGACATGGGCGGATTCGCGGAAACACAAGGAGGAGGCCGCGGTGGTGGGTTCCATACGCCTGTGTGACAGGCTCCGCGAAGCCCGCCCACATCGTTCACAAACTTTGAAACAAACGTTGATCTAGAGAAATTGAAAAGAGGTCGAGAACAAAACGGCTTCCACGTAATCCTCGAGAAAGGTCAGAAGCCCCTCCGTTCTCGCTTGGCCTCCTTCCGAGGTGAGCTAATTCGGACGCGCCGCGTTGCACCGCCGGGGGACTTCCCATGTTCTCTCCCTTCTTCTTCTTCCTCCGCCGCCCGCTCGGTCATGCGCCGTGCCGTGGTCCGCCCACTTCCCGCGGCTCTAAATTTGAAAAATGGGCGGCCGTCCTCGCCGCCGTGGTGGTTGATTGCGATTCGCGAGTCCCACTTACCTGGCAGATGGGGATGAGCCGAGGGATATGGTAGGATAAAAAGAGAGGCTCAGCGTCTTTGAGTATGAATGCATTCGTAACCTAGGCACTTAACAATCTTAAGTAGCATCTTAACTCAGCCTGGATGTCCACGTCGCCCTTAACCAGGCCTGCCCGCAACTCAAATAGAGGATCACCAAATGCTTGAACCCAATTAAGCAATTTTCGCAATGCCCTCCATGCCTCCACCTTCCGTCGCCACCGTGGTGGTTGACTGAACTGAATCTTCGCCCGTCGTGTACTCCACATCGCGTGTATCCGTACGATTGTCATCGCCGGGCAATCACGCAACCCAAATTTAGAAGCCTCCCTCGAGATACATGCCCGTCACGGCGAGCCCAATCGCCGTGGTGAAGGGGTACTTCTGCGGGAACCCCGGTCCGCCGTGCTCCGGGTCCAGCCCGCTGGTGCCGGGGTACAGCAACGAAGCCCATCCAGTCACCCAGTAAATGGACCCCAAGAAGCCCGCGATGCGGAACGACTCCTTCGCCATTTCGGCAGACGTGTTGGTTCGCCACGTGAAGAAGAGGGTTGCCATGCCTAAGATCAAAGAGAGCGTCATTGTCTGCGCATTGTGGAATCTGAGTGGTTGTGGTCAGCTTTCGCAGATAACGGAACGCAGACATGTAGGCTGACGGCATCGACTTTTTCTGTCGTGCGACCTGCCCGCACAGAAAGGTAAGATCACTCACTTGGCATGTGGCGGCCACCGCGGATTATGGATGTGCGTCTCATTCCAATCGGCCATGTATGCGCCAAACAGCAGCATGATGCCGTCGAGGGTAAGGAGGACGCGGCCGAACATGCTTGCGGGCCGATATCAATGTCTCGGCAACTTTGACTTGTCGCGGTTCGCTTCGATCAATTGTGTATGTGGAATGCTTCAATCGAGCTATCGTGAGTCTTAGCAGTTGTTGAGACCAAGCTCGGCACAATAATCAAGTAAATACAGTAGTGTGCATTCGGGGCTTGGGAGGCTCCTTTAACTCCTCACTTGTCCGCCAGACAGCGTCATCCGTTCATCAGAACGTCTGAAATGTGCAGAGTCGCGTCCTGTCTCGTTGCCGTGTCACGTCGACACCTGGTAGAGCGCCGCACTCCTCGTGCTCCGACTTTTACACGCGAGGAAACCCGCCTTGACAAAGAAACTCAATGCGACTCGCTCACTTGGCTATAATAATCTCTGATTCAGACCCGGTTGAGTGATATCAATCCTACCTACCCATGTTCGTTCTCTGTTTTCCCTCCTCGTTGCCGGACTTAGGAGGAAGAGTGTTGGGGATCTCCGATGGGTTCCGGGCGTGCCGCCCTCGAGGCTCGCGGCAACCTCAGATGCGGCACGCGAGGAAACGCTCGGTTCCGGTCCGAAGAAACAGTGGTAAAAGTCGTTGTGAATGTGCAATTTGTGGTAAGGGATTGGAACATTGGACGTCAGTGCATATCGTACCCGTATCCTTAATTCTTTGAGGACTGGCTATCTAGAAGGCCGCAGGCTAGGGATCCGTCCTCCCCCACGAAGAGGACCCCGCCGTTTGTCTTTATCGCTCAATACTTGCTTTCAGGTTGCTCAGTGAGTATGTCCTCTGAATTGATCACTGTCTTGGTGAGTAAGTGATTGATTAATAAACTAGATGAGTACGGTAAGTGTAACGGGCTGCGCTCCGAGGGAATCCCGTCATGAGCCCCGTTTTCCATCTTACTCTACCTTAGCCGGTAGAATTACCACGGGCCGGGCGCATCCTGATTCCGGAATTTGCTCCGGTATTACAACACTTGCTTCGTACAGTGAAAGCTTCACACCACAACATTATGTATCTCGAAGAGATGACTTATATTTCATTTGAATGCACTGCCATAAACCATTACGAAAGCTGCAAGTTTTGGTTCGTATGCTGGCTTAACGCACGCTAGACAAGCGGCGTGCTCGGGCTCAAGAGGAAGAAAGTTTGCTGATCTCAGGGAGTCTCAATGCGAAAAATTGCCCCGCGAATACCAACCGCATTCAGCTATGTTGGCTCAGGTCGAACCATCCCCATGCTGCAGTTACGGTATGATGCCGTTGAAAATAATAACGTCTGGCGGTGAATGCTCGAACAGGTTCAGTAAAAGTGGAAACTCCATTCCTTGTATACATTCAGCGTCGTGGCATAGGGTTTAGTCTAGTCTCGATGTTTCGATTCGCTCAAGGAACGCTACTTGTAAGTGAGCCTTATTAGCATGGGTTCGAACATCACCACAGCCCATGTAGCTCGGACCTGAGGTTGGGGAAATGCTCGAGCGGCCGCAGCTAAAGGTCATGACGCCATTCCGGCCTCGAACATCACAAGCCAGAAGCTCATCCCTACACTCAGGGCCCCAAGCTCTTCTTTCATCGCGCACACCAGACGTAACCTTTTCCCACCTCCATCAAATAGCCTCCAAACTGTACACCCGCGAGATACCGGTCCATATCCTTCGACCGCATTAGCTACTAGACCTCGCTCTACATAACCATCCCCAATACGACCATGGTTCCCACCAAAAAGGTCCTCGTCCTAGGCGCAACAGGCAAGCAAGGCGCTGCCGTCGTCGACGCTCTCCTCGACCTCCCATCCAGCTCACCAACCCTCGAGATCCTCGCCCTTACACGAAGCCACGAGTCCGCAAAGATCAAGTCCCTCATCGAGACGGCAAAGGCCAAGGGCGTCACTGTCACGCCCGTCAAGGGAGACCTCAAGGACTCCCCGACGCCAGTCTTCGAAGCCCACCCACGCGTCGACACAGTCTTCATCGTGACTACCATCGGTAATGAGGACGCCATCGGAAAGGCCTGGGTTGATGCCGCCATCGACAAGGGAGAAGCCTCGCAGATCGTGCTGACGTCTGTTGACCGTGGTGGCGAGGATAAGTCATGGGTGAACCCGACCGATGTACCGCACTTCTTGCAAAAGCACGCCATAGAAGTGTATCTCCGTGATCGTGCAGACGAGCTTGAGAAGAATGGCAGAAAGCTTCGCTGGACCATCCTGCGCCCGGCGGCGTTCTTGGATAACACCAACCCGGGCATGTTTGGCAAGGTGTTTGCGGCCATGTGGTCTACGCTACCCGCCGATCGGAGCTTGCAGCTCGTCTCGGTGCGGGATATCGGACTCTTTGCGGCCAAGGCTGTTGAGAATCCTGAGCAGTGGGATCGGAGAGCTGTGTCGCTTGCAGGCGACAGTATCACTTACGCCCAGGCGAGAGACACT